TTCGGTAACAAATTTCTTGAAGCTGATAACAAATCTGAAGTTGCCTGGAATATAACTGAACAGAATACAACATTCAATAATATGAGCAATTGTTTTCCGCATTATTCTGAAATTGATGATGGAACTCGGGTTCATGGTGGTCCTGTTATTCCTCAAGTCTTTAATGATTATTTCATTGACTCTGTAAATTCTCTAAACGATGATTCTGAGCCTGCTGGTGAACATCATCACGATATGAAAACAAACTCTTTTTTTCTTCATCATTTAGACGAAACTGAACTTCTTGATATCATCAAGTCCATATCGTCTATGAACTCTAGTGGCATTGATAAATTACCAGGTAGAGTATTGTTGAATGTTGCTAAACTAATCATTGAACCACTTACATACCTACTTAATATCTCTTTCATTTCCCTCGGGTCTTAAACATGCTATTGTAGTTCCTGTTCACAAGAAAAATGATAAAATCTTTACTGTGTATGTGACGATTTCCATGCTTGTAGAAAAGTCTCAGAAAAAATAAAGTATTGTATTGTATTATAAATCGCTTTAGGGCTTCAAACACTCCGAATACCATAAGGATGGATCAGGAAATCTTCGTGAGGGAACGTCATGGGACGTTACTCCGAGAAAATGGACAACGCCTATGAGAAGAGGTGTTGTCCAGGACAAGGAGCGGGCCCCAGGTCAATCTCCGTCAATTGCTCGAAATGCGAGCACAACTGAGAACGCTGAGATCGGCCCCGAGAAGGAATCATCAACATAGCGAATCCGCGATTATGAATATTTGAGTACGATCTCCTATGTCAAGATCGACGAAATCGCGTTTTCAAACTTATGCGGAGCAAACCGCAGAAATCGAAAATTTTATCCGGCGGTGACGACCGGAGGGATGTCTGCCTCTAGATTTGAGGATTCTCCCTAAATGCAATGTTTTGCATTCAATAGGTATTGCCTACTTATGTAGTAGACTTACCAAGGGTAATATCTCTGGAACTCAGATCTGGGAGGCCAAGAGGCTGTTATGGCGTGGGCCGGTGAATGTGAACGACGGGGGTGGCGTTGTAAAACACCCCCGTACTACTACAAACGGAAACCGTTTACCGTTACGGAGGACACTTCCTAACTTCGTTATTGAAATGCGCTGCAGGTCCATCTCGTGAATACAACACATTTCGCCTTATTCATTGATTAACCTCTTTCAAGTATTCTGGTAAATCATTTTGTAAGAACTGTAAGTGATGTGCATCATTTGAATTGCGTGAAAGAAATACTTGTTTTTTTTTTCGCGTGAGGGTTTTCTTCAATCCATATGTGTGCGTTATGTGATTCGTAATGCCATTCCTATGCCATCTGTGACATGCGCAATAACCAAAAGCACAAATTGACGGTATATAATTGTTGAAGCAACTGTTTGTTAATTATCAATAGAAACTACAAGTGTTGAAGAGCCAACCGATGAAGTTTTCAAGGATAATGAAAAAGAGCCAGCATTCGGATAAAACCTGAATTTTCGAAAAATGTAACGTGATGAAAAAAAATTGAAATATGATGTATTGAAAGGATGACCAACTTCTATCGTCCAAAGGGTCACTTCAATACTCTTACTAAAGGCGGGGGTCGCACAAAAAATGTAAGGCAAATTTAGGCTATATAAATAAATAAACAAATTATATGAAACACTCTTTAATTTTATTATGACATTAAATAAAAAAGTTTAGCAGAACAAAATCAAAATGACATATAAGTTATACTGAATAGCTACTCAGTTCTAGTTGAAATGAACATAGTATTGCGCCAAATATTCTTAAACGTCTTGATTTGAGTATGAATTTCTTCAAACTCATCAATGACAACACTGAGGGCGGGCACAATCGTTCACCAGTTTATGATAATCAATTCGTATTGAGGCGGTGGCCACCTTTAGCAGATCTTGAAGGTGGTTGTCTGCAAGTCTGTTTCGGTGAGATGACTCTATAAATTTCATTGTGGAAAAAGTACTCTCACAAATATATGTGCTTCCAAACATAGAAACATTTTTCTTAGCGAAATCACGTAGTTTGGGATACCTTCCCTCAGGCAGCCTACTCCAGAATTCAACACCAGTTTCCGTTCTTTTCTGGGAAAGTGGGTCACTTTGCAATCACAAAACTCCAAGTGTACGTCGTCATCGTGCTGAGAAATGTCACATGTCATGCCAATAACTAAAAACCGTTCATTGAATGACTCCAAAAGCATATTCGAATTCGGTACGCAAAAACTGAAATCACTGGTTGGAATTCCTTTCCTGATTTCTCTGCCCTATGGAAAATGTACCAGGTTAGCTTTTTCTAGGCTTGATTTGAAAACCTTTAGTATTTTTACAAATCCATCTAAGTGTCCAATTAATTCAGGTATGGTTTGATTTCGATCTTGTAACTTCAAGTTAAGCTCATTCATGTGGTGACTTACGACTGTTAAGAAAGCCATAGTGCTCAAAAACTCAGAATCTAGTAACTTTTTCTGTATTTTCACAGAGAAAGGTGTATTGATATGTGCATTTAGAAATTCAGTTATCTCTTTTCTCAAAACGAAGAATCATTTCAAGCAGTTTCCTTTACTTAGCCAGCGTACTGTTGTGAAGAATATCAAGTCGTTATACTCTGCTTCTAGTTCTATTAGGAAAGCCTTCAATCATGTTAACACATTTCATGACTGTTTTCATCGTGTCTTCCATTTCCAATATTTTTCCACAGAGAGCTTCCTGATGTATGAAACAGTGAAATGCTGGACAGTTCATATCAGCCTTTCTTAACAAGCTCTCTAGACCTATTTGACAGCCAACCATAGCTTTGGCGTCATCTGTTTGCCTCATGCTCAAAATATGCTTCCTACTGATTCTCTTATACTCAGCATTAAACCTTAACTTTACTAGTTGAAACATTAAAAATGAGGTCGTAATAATATACAATTTGTATCTGTATATAAAAATTGTATTTTTATGTTTTTGTTGAAAAATATCCAATACTTTTCAAAATCGTTCAGGGGCCACAAAGAACAAGGCCACGGGGCCGCTTGCGGCCTGTTATTAAACCAATGGTAACCCAATATTAATTTAATTGTAATGCATAGGAGACTTTAGCGTCTTAGGGGTCCAATAACCCCCTAAAATTCTCATGAGCTGATCATATTTCGTGATTTTATATAAAAAAAAATGTCTTACGACAAAATAGCCATTTTGATTATAAAATGTTGAACAGTTCATGAAATATTGGAAAATCGCTTTTCATTTGGTATTTTCCAAAGGCTGCAACTTTCTTTGTGTGCATATTTGCATTAAAGTTAGTTGTATCCAGTCGAGTTATTTTTGACCCTAGATTATGTGATTCAATTTATTACCGACAGGGATGGCCAATTGGCAATCGAATTTGGAATACCACAGTGCTTCGATAAGGGACCTCCTGTTGTTCATCATTTATATGAATGACTTCTTCTTTCACTTATCACAATATAAATGCATAATATATGCCGATGATACAACCCCCCTGTGTACTAACCAGAACTGTGAGAACTTGCTTGCCACATGAAAACTGTGTTGAATCAGGGTGAGAAATGGTTCAATGCTAACTTTTCAAAACTACATAAAAATAGAACTCAAACTATCACATTCTCTACAGATATTATTGCAGCAAAAGGTGGAACTGTCAAATTACTGATCCCTACTATACTGGTAAAATGGTGTTTGTTACGTGTTGGTAGTAGAATGTCCTTAAACGCTCTATTGCCTACTATTGAACTGTTGTTGTTGCTTTTTACCTGTGTTCTTCTTCTTCCTACTTAACCTCTTCTTCCCGTAAAGGTATGAAAATGTTAAATCTAAAGTTCTCACGGATAGGACTATGTTGAACTGGTTTCCGGGTATTTGATCCGTGTATGGATATTATCTTTAATCTCACCAACGTTTCGACAAAATCTTATTTGTCATTATCGTGGTGTGCTGTTACGTGTTCAGAAGTCGGTTGACCCTACTCGAACCGATTCCTTTCCATACCTTTACAGGAAGAAGAGGTTAATTAAGATGAAGATAAACTCAGGTGAAAAAGCAACAACAAAAGTTAAATAGTAGGCAATAGGGCGTTTAAGGGCATTCTACTACCGAAAACGTAACAAACACCATTTTATCAGTATAGTAGGGATCGGTTCGAGTAGGGTCAACCGACTTTCGAACACGTAACAGCACACCCAGATAATGACAAATGAGATTCTGTCGAAACGTTGGTGAGAATAAAGATAATATCACATACATGGATCAAATACCCGGAAACCAGTTCAACATAGTCCTATCCCTGGGAACTTTAGATTTAATATTTACGGGAACAAGAGGTTAATTAAGAAGAAGAAGAACTGAGGCAAAAAAGCAACAACAGTTAAATAGTAGGCAATAGAGCGTTTGAGGACATTCTACTACCGAACACGTAACAAACACCATTTTACCAGTATAGTAGGGATCAGTAATTTGACAGTTCCACCTTTTGCTGCAATAATATCTGTAGAGAATGTGATAGTTTGAGTTCTATTTTTATGTAGTTTTGAAAAGTTAGCATTGAACCATTTCTCACCCTGATTCAACACAGTTTTCATGTGGCAAGCAAGTTCTCACAGTTCTGGTTAGTACACAGGGGGGTTGTATCATCGGCATATATTATGCATTTATATTGTGATAAGTGAAAGAAGAAGTCATTTATATAAATGATGAACAGGGCACAATCGTTCACCAGTTCATGATAATCAATTCGTATTGAGGTGGTGGCCACCTTCAGCAGATCTTGAAGTGACGTAGTTTTTGATAGTTTTCCTCAGGCAGCCTACTCCAGAATTCAACACCAGTTTCCAAATATGCCCTCCATTAAATTTTCAAAGTGATCCGTTGTCTGGTTCACCAGAAACGTCTAATGTGCCATCCACCGTGAATCAGCCTGTATATTGAGGAAACTGTGTATTAATGCGATGCAAAAAAAAAATTGTTTTCTTCAAGAAATATATTAGAAAACCTCCTTATCATTTCTTTCCAGCTTGAGAGTGAATTTGGATATGGGCAAGTCTTTTTACTCCTGGTCTATAGGAAAAGACCCAGCCATGAAAGGTACTACCGTAAGATGTACCACAATACCTGAAGAACTTGGTAGAATTTCCTACCTGCTTTCTGACAAAACTGGAACTCTTACTCAGAATTCGATGATATTGAAGAGATTGCATCTGGGTACAGTCAGTTATGCTGCTGATAGTTTTGATGAAGTAAGTGGGCTGTAATAATATTTTGTTAATACTCATTAAAGGAATCATTGAGTTAAATTGGGAGCTATATAACAGATTTCTGTTTTTGTTTCAGGTGGGTTTGGTATTGAAGAATTCTTTCTCTCCTTCTGAAAACATCAAGATGGCATCGGAAAAGTTCAGGCGTTCAGAAAATACAAGAATCAGAGATGCTGTACAAGCCCTAGCACTCTGCCATAATGTGACTCCAGTTTATGAGGGGTCGGGGAAAGGAGATACAGGTAAGAAGCACTATTTTTGATTTAATTTTTCTTTATTCAAATAACACTTTATATTAACCTTATACTTTCAAATGTATACACACACATCTATATTCTTAAAGACTACTGATGTTCTGCATCATTGAGTCTTTTCCTACAAAATTGTGTTTGTTTTAATATAGTTTTTTAGTTTAGATTTAAATATATAAATACTTTCGCTTTGTTTTATATAGAAAACAAGTCATAGATTAGTAGAGTGAAAAATCATTTTGCTTTTCACAAAAATGAATTCAGTCACATCATCAAATTATTGTCACAAAGTTCATATAAAAATAAAGAAACTTTCATGGTAATGATGAACTTGAGAATAAACTTGAAATAATCAGTAACCAATGAAATTCTCAATAAGAATATTTGTCTAAGAAAAAACGTGTGGGTTACTAAATGTCTATGCCCAGTGTATATAATATTATATCATAATATATGATAATATATCTTATATGATGATATGAAGTCGAAAAGCAAAACGTATAAGCTTCGATTGACGATCAGTGATTTATATTAATTTTAATCGGTAACAATAAAACGAATCCATAACTTCTGAACTTATCCTTTCAGGGAATATCATATGAAATATGTGAAAATTTAATGGAATTTTATAGTTCTAATACTAAATGTTTTCTTGAAAGTCGCAAAGAGTTGTCATTCGTGATTCACCACATCTACTCAGAGCAGAATATTCACGAATCCAATGATCACTCGCCTCAATTCATGGTGGCCGTTGGTTGATGAATCTGGTGTTGACATCTCAAACCATTGAGCGACTGATATTTCGAAAATGACGTAAAAACAGAATACAGCTGCTGTGGAGGCACCACGAGTTATACACTGTGTCCATAAAGGGGCCAAGTATGAGAAAATTAGAAACCGCAAGAAAAACAAATGTCGGTTGAATTGAGATAAAGGTGACTTTTTGAAATTCACAAAATCTTTTATTGGGTAATAGATTAGTGAAATTTTCGCCAAAAAGGTTAACTTATAATAGGTGTTTCTCATCGGTACATATAAACATGTTAAAAATAATACAGTTTGTTGTACGATTTTACAAAAACCGCAAGACTTGTTTCTCTATACAATAGCTTCCTCAAGCATAAACTAAAAGTTTTTATAGTGTATTCGTGTACTTGGGTGTAACTATTGACAGCAACTTGAAATTCAAGAAACATGCTAATCAAGTTATCAAAACAATAGCTTACAAAATCAACTATTTAAGAAGATGTTTCCCATATATCGATGAACAATGTGCTATCTAGCCTTCAGTTCGGTTTTCAAAGTTCGAAAAATACCACAGATGCTATTTTTTCCTTTCTAGAAAATGCATACTCTAGCATAAATGATAGCAAGGCTGTTGCAGCAGGTTTTTGTGATTTTTCGAAAGCTATCGATTGTGTTGATCATAAGACACTGCTCCGGAAGCCCAGCCATTATTTTATATTTTATGTTATATATGTTTCATTTGTGAAATTGCTATGTTTGTATTTTTTATGTTTTATGTCGTGTATTGTATTTTTTATATTTTATGACATTCATTTGATTGTTTTACAAGACTTTGTCAATAAGATACTAATCTTCCGACAATAAAGCATATTGATTGATTGATTGATATGAGCCAGTGGTCTAAATTATTAGTCTATAACTCCATTTTCCTTCCACATTTGAATTATTGTTTTACCACTCTGTTCTGTCTCAATCAAAATTAAATAAACAGACTACAAAAGATGCAGAATCGTGCTATACGAATAATTTTACAATGTTCGAGGATAACACCCATAGCAAATATGTTGCAAACCCTTCAATGGCTACCAGTGAAGAAACTCTTCGAAATAAACTGATGAAAAAATTGAAGGCAAGGTCACCAAAACAGAGTTTCACATCAATAAAACATTTCATTCCAACAGCAATAAAACGGACAGCCATGAAATTAACATCTAGGTATGATTATTCTTGAATCATATGTGACTCTCAGGACCTTGTTATACATCATTCTCAAACACAATTAATGTTCCTTACGCATTGCAAGATTGCATACACTTTAGTGCACTGACCAAGTTGGTAACTAAAATGAAGATTTCTGTCCGCAAATAAAATCCAGCTCCCATTCCATGTTCGATTGTTGGCCGTCTATATATCAGGTGTTACTGTCAAGCATTTTCTCAGGATGACTGTTAATTCTCCACTCTTTGCAGTTTTTGTTGAACATGTATTTCAGTGTCATGGACTCCGTGCAAATGTTTGATGTTTGTTCATCCACATATTACAAAATTTCTATTTTGGCTAATCCCATGCAACTTGGTGACTCCAACATACCACAAAATGTAAAAGAGTCAAAAAGTATTGCAGAATTCAAATATAATTTGATTTTGTGTTATAAATAAGAACATATTTTTACTGTATTAAATTTTATATATATTTATACTCACATTTATTATATATGTTTTTACTTACATTTATGATGATTTATATGTATTGTAATATAGCTATGTTAACTATTTTATTTTTCGTAAATTAGGATTATCATACTCATATAAATAAATCATTAAATCATCAAGTCTTTAGATTTTCTGAACAACAGTTTATCTTTCAAAATCGCACCAGTCATAGTTTCATAGGTAACTCAAGAATCTGCAAACAAACAATAAATATCATAATTTCCGTAGAAATTTCATTCAAAACCAACTCCAGTTTATACAAATGAATGCTCAAAAGTTCACCATTCACATCCTGATAATAGTGAAGTCTGTTTACAAATTTATTTCTGACATGAAATGTTTCTGGAGTAATGTCATTGCAAGCACCTCTCATTCTTTCCATGAGTTTTGAATAGGCTGCAGTTGTGTAACATACATTTTTTTATTTCACTAATACCCCCAAAAAATCTAAAGAAGTCATATGAAATATCTAGTAATTTTATTAATTGTCATCCAAACTCTCTCTTATAACGAGATGTCCCCATCTTGCTGGCTACAATAAACCCTTGAGGGTTGCGGTGGAGGGTCGAATAGACCCCATCTTGCTGAAACATAAACATTAGTACAAAACTCATTTGAATTTGCCTGAACTGTATCATCTATCAATGTCCTGATACGATTTTGCAGCATATCCAAATACAAAGATCCCATTGATTTTTTTTTTTTCAAAAATATCAGACAAAATGTTCCAACCGTATGTTAAATTATCAGGTTTATTTTATGAATAAATGGTCCAATAGTATAATTTACGGCAGGGATGGCCAACTTCTTTTGCCCAAAGGGCCACTTCAATACTTTCACAAACAGCGGGGGCTGCACAAAAAATTTAAGGCAAATTTAGGCCTATAACTATATAAACAAATACTATGGAACGTTCTTTAATTTTAATATAGCATTTTATAAAAGTTTAGCAGTACAAACTCAAAATGACATAAGTTATATTGAATAGGTATTCAGTTCTAGTTGAAATGAACATAGTATTGCGCCAAACATTGTTAAACGTCTTGACTTGGGTATGAATTTCTTCAAAGTTCTCCACAATTTAACTGAATTTAATTTAATGAGAACACTGAGGGCGGGCACAATTGTTCACCAGTTGATGATAATCAATTCGTATTGAGGTGATGGCCACCTTTAGCAGATCTTGAAGATGGTTGTCTGTTTCGGTGAGTTGACTTTATAAATTTCATTGTGGAAAAAGTGCTCCCACAAATATATGTACTTCCAAACATTGAAACAGTTTTTCTACCGAAGACACGTAGTTTGGGATACTTTTCCTCAGGCAGCCTACTCCAGAATTCAACACCAGTTTCCGTTNATTCACAAATATAAAACTATCGTAGAAAATAGACAAAAGTTTATAGTGTATCCTCTAAATATAAGGCCAATTTTTTCTTTTTAGCTCGACTCATTGAACACAGATGAAAGTTTAGATCTAGAAAACACTCTGTGGACAAATTGTGTTGTTTCTTCTGGACAGGCTACGGGAGTAGTCATCTACACAGGTTGTTTAATTGTTTTTTTTTTATAGTCCTTCTTGACATTGAGTTTTGTTTTTGTTTGTAGGCCCAGAAACTAGATCTGTCATGAATAATTCTGCTCCTCGCTCTAAAGTGGGCCTGTTGGATATGGAAGTGAATACCATTACAAAACTTTTATTCGGTGCCGTGATTGGTTTGGCTCTTATTATGATTGTTCTGAAAGGATTCAGTGGTCCCTGGTACCGATACATGTTCAGATTTGTACTCTTGTTTTCTTATATCATACCCATAAGGTAAGATCAAATAGTGGAAGATAATTAGATAAAATGATACTGATATATAGATACGAATGAGGGGGAAAAGTGAAGTGGAGAAAAAGAAAGAGATCATACGAAACTGGGACGTATTAGAAGGGGATAAAAAGTGAGAGGGAAAGGTGGAAATTCAGAGAGGAGAAATATAATATAGAAAGAAGATGCTGAAATATATAGAAAAAACTTTTTGAAGGACCTTTTGTATGATAAAACTTGGTTGTTCCGATTGTCTTTTATGGCGGATATCTTTCAAAAACTTAACGAATTGAATTTATCGTTGCAAGGTAAACAGACAACAGTGTTTCAGGCCTATAATAAAATAACTGCTTTTAAAAGAAAATTAGATTTTTGGATCATTTGCATTGGTAAGAAAGAAATAGAAAGCTTTACGTTACTCAGTGAGTTTGTTAGCGAAAACGACTCAGAAATGTTTGAAGATGATGTGTTTGAAGAATTGGTCCAATATCTCAGTTCGATGCGTGCATCTTTTGAAAAGTATTTTCCCGAAGAACACAATACAAAAATTAAAGTGAATTCATGGATTTATAATCCTTTTTTACCCAACTTGGAAAAGCCTGAAAACATGTCAAACGAGATATATGAATCTCTTTTAGAAATGTCATCAGACACAAGTATGGAGTCACTGTTCAAAACGACGCCTCTCAATGATTTTTGGTGCAAAATCCAAGATGAATATG